TAAAACTAGCTCCTAAATCTGTGAAACGTTAGGAGTAGTGAAGAGGACTCGTAAGTCACTAAGACCGAACCACAAACTATCCTAAAATGGCTGTTGCCGGCAATCTGCCTTGGAATATAAACATTTTCGAAACATTTGACGATAATGAGCTTTTTAAAAAAAAAGGTATATCGCCTTAATCGTGGGGGTGTTGTGACTGTTGTAGAACTTTTCGGGGACAATTTTCCTTTGATTAGCCTATATCCATGTTTTCATTAGCCAGTTGGCCAAGAAGTAACAGCTCGTCTTGCGTCCAGTCTGGTTTTCTTTTACGTTTGCATGTCTTACTATCAGCCATGATTATTCCACTCTGTTAATTAAAAGGCTGTCTATATGCATATTCGCTAATTGTTTGCAAGAAGCATACATGTAAGAGGCTGACAATTAGCTGAACATACACTTGTTTAATTAGTGACTCTTAGCTTGCATTTTAAAATATTTATTTGAATATGGCAATTAACATATTTATTTTTAACCTTTATTTGAATATGGCAACATAAAATCATGCTCTACAATATTTCTATGTGTAAATCTCTTGACAGAGCCTGCCCCTATATCAGCCAGTCACTGTGTGCACAATTAGTAAGCATGCTGACACCATCCATAGCAACAAGGTCATTCCCGCCCTTACTCTTAGCTTAAGACTTCTCTCTATTCCTTAGTAAAAGTATGTCTCAGCAGCTTTGTGAATTGGTTTTAAGAGAAAACACTTAGCTAAAAACTTTTACTGCTATTTAGGAGAAGTCTTAATGGTAAGATAAAATGTTTTGTGAATACGGGCCCAGATATCCAACATCTGCAGCACGAGGCACAATCTCAGCCACCACAGAGGCACCAGTCTGTACTGGATACAGAACCTGAGGAGCGTTGTCATTCTGATCCTGGATATTGATATTGATAGTTATTGTCACTTCAGAGCTCAAGGGCAGGGATCCTTCATCTCGAGCTTTCACGTTAAAGGCAAACCATTTCAACTGTTCAAAATCAAATGATTTAACTGCATGAATAGTGCCAGTATGTGAATCTACAGATACGAGAGAACTTAGCGGTGCACCACCCATGTCTTCATCCTTCAGGAAGTAGGACAATTGCGCATTGGGACCCCAGTCAGCATCATTTGCTTTAACAGTCATTATAGTCAGACCAGGAGAATTATTTTCACTAACAAATGTTTTATATTCCTCGAACTCGAATACTGGCGGATTGTCATTCACATCAGATATTTTTACATTAAGCGTTTTGTTAGCGTGGCGCACATTAATTCCTTGGTCTGACACCAAGATCGTTATGTTATATTCAGCAAGACTTTCTCGATCAAGCATATCATCAGTAACTAAACTATAATAGTCCGTGAGAGATGACTCAATTTTAAACGGTGTATTTTGATTTATTGAGCACTGAACAAGGCCATTTTTACCAGAATCTGCGTCCTCTACGTTAATGACGGCTACAGTTGTTCCCACTGGGGAATTTTCAGGAAGGGTGTTTGAGAACGACATCAGCTGTATGGTTGGAGAATTGTCATTCTCATCAATTACATCTATGACAATTGTGCAAGTATCTGAGAAGCCTCCTTTATCCTTTATCATAATCTAAATGATCAAGAAGTCTATGATCTCACCTGTATCTGTGCTTATCCCGAAAAGCTCACTTGCTTCTTTGGTAGCAAGAGCAAAGGAATAGGAAACCTGGCCATTTACACCTTCGTCAGCATCAGCAGCACTAACAGTACCGATAACAGTACCAGCAGGTGAATTCTCTCTAACTTCAGTTTTAAATACTGACTGTTTACACACTGGAACATTATCATTAACATCCAGAACAGTAACGTGAATTTTTACAGTGCCTGATTTCTGAGGTGACCCACCATCAGTTGCCACAAGAACCAATTTAATCTCATCGCATTCCTCTCGGTCTAGTTCTCGTTGTAAAACCATCTCAATGTATTTGCTGCCATCAGTCTGACTATGAACCTCCAGTTTAAAACTATCAGTTGAATGTAGATTATAATTCTGTATACCATTTAGACCTACATCTGTACCTATGGCGCTATCTAAAGGAAACCTAAAACGGCATTTTCAGCTATTTTCAAATTAACATTTTCTTTCAGAAATAACGGAGCATTATCGTGCACCTCAACTGTGACTCGATGGAGTTGGAGAGGGTTTTCAACGATAAGATCAAAGCTGAAGCTGCAAGGCGTCCAGAGCTCCTCGCGATCTATCCTTTCTTTAACTACTAGAGTCCCTTTGTCTCTGCTCAGATCGACATACTGTCGTCCGCCCTTTGTAACGACGCGAGCTTTTCCAGATATGAGTCTACTTATCTCTATCCCCAGATCCTTGGCGATGTATCCAACGAATGATCCCTCTGGCATTTCCTCCGTGATGGAATATCTCGCATTGCAATATGACGTCCACTCCGTAAAAGCAGAGAATGAAAAACACAATCTACCATTTTTAATGTGTGGAAACCATCCATGGATTGTGTGAATTGATCGATAAACTTAAGAAAACCATCCTGAGAAGCTGTGTCTTCAAACGATGTTGGATCAAGTGTGAAAAGCCATTAAAATCCTAAATCCGCAATAAAGCATTTGTGTTCTTTCCATCAGAAAAACGCTCTATATGCCCAACCTACAAACACGTCAGTAAGTGACTGGCAATACAGACTACTGAGCAAAGAAGAGCTCTACTCAGATGTTAATCAACAGGGGCACTCAGAGCTCTAAAGTTGCAAATACAAGACCAACAGCATCACTACGACCGTTACAAGCCAAAATTATGACATCAATACCACAAGAAGAAGAAGAACAATAATAATAAACTGCATTGTATTAGTGTGTGTGTGTGTGTGTGTGTGTGTGTTTGTCCGTCCGCTGACCATTTCAGCACCATCGGGATGAACAGCACCCGAAGAATTCAACAATGAATTGATAGTTTTCAGTCACGTGACTGGTTCGAAGACCTGGCGGACAAAACATCCATAGAACTGCAGCACAAGCCAGTCAATTTTCCATCTGTTTCTAATCCAAACATATTTAGATTATCTCTCAAAAGAATAAAACAAAGATATGTGAACAAAATAAAAGTACTGGCCATTAACAATCCAATCACCCACCGCAATATTTCAATCACTAAAAATAGCGGGACATTCTAAAACATTTAATGTGAAAACACTTAAAGTGCCTTTAAAACAGTGATATTAAAAGATAAAATTCAGTATACTCCTTATTGATGCGTGCTTTACACAGGCACGCAAATGAGCCTGGAACATAAACGCAATGCGTTAAATGGTTAAGCGTCTTCTTTATAATGGTTTTCTATGGGAAAATTTTAATATTAAACTTTGCACATGGCGTTTATATTCTGGGTTAATCTGCTTACCTGTACAAAGTCTGCATCATCAATAAGTTGTATTCTGAATTTGGCATTTAAATATCACTGTCTTACTACATTACTACTAAATGCAAACCTCATAAAAAATAACTGGCGGTCAGCGGAGGAAAGCATTGTTTTGCCCTCCATGTGGGCGTTCCTGTAAGGGTGTGACGTCAGGTGAAAACTATCAATAGACTGCTCGAATCTCAGACTCTCCTTAAAATTAAAACTTAACAGCAAGTTGAAAATAAAAATAAAAGCGCAGAGCTCTGTGAAATCCATGGATTCCTCAAACTCAAACTCACTGTGTATGTGCTGTATGTGCTGTATGTATGTATGTATGTATGTATATTTTAAAGCCGACATTATCAAACAATTAAATAACATCAACAGGCTGAACAAGCGATTTGTGGTGTAATGGCCATAAAAACATAGAGACAATTATAAATATTAATTGCATCTATTCCTGCAAGGATCTTACCATTTCTTGTTGCTCAGATTTTTCAAGAATGTTCTTTTCCTTCATTGAGCGCTGCATCGTCTCAGTGAAACTCGGGTCCACGACTAAAACATTCTGTCCACCGAGTGTAGAAAACTTACAGTCACTCTTCCTCGAGTCAGTCGTCATGCACACTTCATAATTATACCCGTGCGGCAGAGTTCCAGTCACTCCTGTGTCTGCGTAATACGGTGGATAGTACGGAATAACAGGCAGATTGGACTGATATAGGAAGCTTGATTGTCTCCACCTGTAGATTTTAACTGATATTATGACAACCACACAAGTAATAAATAGGAAAGAAACCGCAGCCAGAGCGAGAACTAAATAAAAGGTTAGACTCTCGTCATAAAGTTTTCCATGCGTAAAGTCTGTGAACTCCGAGAGCACTTCAGGAAAGCTGTCAGCCACAGCCACGTTAATGGAGACCACAGCTGAGCGAGAGGGCTGACCGTTATCCTCCACAACAACAGTGAGTTTTTGTTTGACAGCATCTTTATCAGTCACTTGTCGCACAGTTCTTATTTCTCCATTCTGTAAACTCACTTCAAACAGCGCTCTGTATGTAGCTTTCTGTAGTTTATAGGAGAGCCAGGCATTCTGTCCAGAGTCCACATCAACAGCCACCACTTTAGTGACCAGATATCCAACATCTGCAGCACGAGGCACAATCTCAGCCACCACAGAAGCACCAGTCTGTACTGGATACAGAACCTGAGGAGCGTTGTCATTCTCATCTTGGATTATAATGTCCAAAGTCACATTAGTGCTGAGGGATGGAGAGCCTCCATCTTGCGCTTTCACACAAACACGAACACTTTTCATTTGCTCGTAGTCAAAACCGCGCAGTGCGTGAACCACTCCACTGTCAGCATTTACTGATATAAAAGAGGAAACAGGGGATCCACCCACTGTAGTCTCATCTAGAAGATACGAAATACGAGCGTTCTGGTTCCAGTCATCATCTTGAGCACTCAGAGTAAATATGGACAAACCAGGTTGATTGTTTTCAGTAACATATGTAGTGTAAACACTCTTTTGAAACCTGGGCGGATTGTCATTAACATCTGATACTTTCAGAATTAAAGTTTTCTGACTAGAAAGCGCAGGAGATCCTCAGCCACCACAGAGGCACCAGTCTGTACTGGATACAGAATCTGAGGAGCGTTGTCATTCTGATCCTGGATATTAATAGTTATTGTCACTTCAGAGCTCAAGGGCGGGGATCCTCCATCTCGAGCTGTCACGTTAAAGGCAAACGATTTCAACTGTTCAAAATCAAATGATTTAACTGCATGAATAGTGCCAGTATGTGAATCTACAGATACGAGAGAACTTAGCGGTGCACCACGCATGTCTTCATCCTTCAGGAAATAAGACAATTGCGCATTGGGACCCCAGTCAGCATCATTTGCTTTAACAGTCATTATAGTCAGACCAGGAGAATTATTTTCACTAACAAATGTTTTATATTCCTCGAACTCGAATACTGGCGGATTGTCATTCACATCAGATATTTTTACATTAAGCGTTTTGTTAGCGTGGCGCACATTAATTCCTTGGTCTGACACCAAGATCGTTATGTTATATTCAGCAAGACTTTCTCGATCAAGCATATCATCAGTAACTAAACTATAATAGTCCGTGAGAGATGACTCAATTTTAAACGGTGTATTTTTATTTATTGAGCACTGAACAAGGCCATTTTTACCAGAATCTGCGTCCTCTACGTTAATGACGGCTACAGTTGTTCCCACTGGGGAATTTTCAGGAAGGGTGTTTGAGAACGACATCAGCTGTATGGTTGGAGAATTGTCATTCTCATCAATTACATCTATGACAATTTTGCAGGTATCTGCGAGACCCCCTTTATCTCTCGCTTTAATATTTATTTGATAACTATTTTGAGATTCATAATCTAAATGATCAAGAAGTCTAATTTCACCTGTGTCTGTATTTATCTCAAAAAGCTCCCTTGCTTCTTTGCTTGCAACAGCAAAGGAATAGGAAACCTGGCCATTTACACCTTCGTCAGCATCAGCAGCACTAACAGTACCGATAACAGTACCAGCAGGTGAATTCTCTCTAACTTCAGTTTTAAATACTGACTGTTTACACACTGGAACATTATCATTAACATCCAGAACAGTAACGTGAATTTTTACAGTGCCTGATTTCTGAGGTGACCCACCATCAGTTGCCACAAGAACCAATTTAATCTCATCGCGTTCCTCTCGGTCTAGTTCTCGTTGTAAAACCATCTCAATGTATTTGCTGCCATCAGTCTGACTATGAACCTCCAGTTTAAAACTATCAGTTGGATGTAGTTTATAGCTCTGTATTCCATTTAGACCTACATCTGTATCTATTGCGCTATCCAAAGGAAACCTAGTTCCAGAAATTGCATTTTCACTTACTTCCAAATTAACATTTTCTTTCGGAAATAACGGAGCATTATCGTTTATATCTTGCACCTCAACTGTGACTCGATGGAGTTGGATAGGGTTTTCAGCGATAAGATCAAAGCTGAAGCTGCAAGGCGTCGTTTGCTTACAGAGTTCCTCGCGATCTATCCTTTCTTTAACTACTAGAGTCCCTTTGTCTCTGCTCAAATCGACATACTGTCGTCCGCCCTTTGTTACGACGCGAGCTTTTCCAGATATGAGTCTACTTATCTCTATCCCCAGATCCTTGTCGATGTTTCCAACGAATGATCCCTCTGGCATTTCCTCTGTGATGGAATATCTCGCATTGCAATATATGACGTCCACTCCATAAAAGCAGAGAATAAAAAACACAACCTGCCATTTTGAGTGTCTAGAAACCATCCATGGATTGTGTGCATTGCTCGATAACCTTAAGAAAGCCATCTTGATAAGATGCGTCGTTATACAAAGTTGGAACAAGTATGAATAAACATCATAATCCCAAATACAAAATAACGCATTTACGTTCTTTTCATCGGAAGAACACTGCATATGCCCATCCTCAACAAACGCGTCAATAAGGGATGGACTGCTGAGCAAAAACGCGCTCAACTCAGATGTTAATCAACAGCGGCACTCAGAGCTTCAAAGTCGCAAATACAAGACCAACAGCCTTAATGCGACTGTTACAAGCCAAAGTGCAACATCAGTTCAGGCATTAATCAGTGCCAGGCAATAGCGGGAAAAAGAAAAAAGAAAAAAACAACCATTTCAGCACTATCGGAATGAACAGCACCCGACGATTTTAATCCAGAATACAATGTTAAAGAAGCTCCAACAACTGACAAAAGTAAAGCTTCAGGAAATACACTTAAGAAAAGTCTAAAATCTCATCTTTAGCACTTGACATGTCTTGTTGAAATACTGACTTTAGTTTTTATATTATTATTAGTATTATTATTATTATTATTATTAATTGTATTATTATTATTTAAAAAAATCTTTATTAAATAAATCTTTATAAAATCAATATTTAAAAATCTTTAAAAACTGTTAATTTATTCAGACAAAACGAAAATAATTTGATCAGATAAACTGATTGATTGATTTTTGTTGTTTTCACCAGCTAGCATCATCAAGGAATAAGTCAGTCAACATCTTTACAGTTTTAACATAAAAGTAAGAAAGTAATCAAATTATCAAACATTTATCTTTTAATTCTTGTTTGAATAACATCAACATGTTGTGCTTTGTGCCTGGTTGTACAAGTGAATGTATTTATGGACAGTTGCCCATACAGATTTCCAGGCTTTTTCAGTCTCTATTAGAAAATTAATTATTTAAATATGTACATCACAAGCATGCATCCCAGTTAATTTAGAACAAATACGATTTTTTCTTACCTATAGAAGAATATCCATTATTGGTTCACAGAGGAGAGCATGAAAGACAAAAATGAGATTAAACAAGTTAGGACTGTTCACTTGAAATCTTTAAGGCATTAAAGTTAAAAAAGCATGATATTATGGCCAGCCAAACAAACAAACAAATACATAAATAAATAATAAATAAATAAAAATATAAATAATTTCCCTTTTTAAGGATACTGTATTTTAAAGATATTATTGTAAAAACAATAAATAAATAAATACATACATAAAAAAAATTTTAAAAATCAAGTAAGCTTTACAGATCTTTGTTGGAAGTGGAATACTACAATATTATTACTAACATTCATGCTTGTTCAATAAGCCATAAACAATTATTTATTGCACATGCACATGTGGAACAGTCCTTAACATACTGGCAATTAAAGTCACAGTGACGGTAATGTCCATAATATAAGACACCTAAGACATTGCTACAGAGAGACAGAAAGAACAGCTTCATCCTTGCAGTGGCAAACCACGCATAACCACGTGTCCCCATGTTTGAGAACTTGTTTTGGGGGAAATATCTCACAGCAAGAACTGGCAAAACTAATTCAGTCCATGGATGAGATTATCTGTAGTACTAAAAGCAGCTGGTGGACACTCTATACTGACTGTACTTTTGATATTGACCCTCTTTGTGGTCAGGGACTGATTATTCCAATTCTGTTAGTCAGATGTCTGTGAAATTTGTTCAATTTATGTCTCATGGGGTTGAATCTTTTTTTTATGTTCATACATGTTCATACATGTTCTTTTTTCTTATATATTTCCAAAAGATAAGTCAGTTTATTTATTTATTTTTATTTTTGTTTTTTCTGTGTCAATTTGTCATTTTTTCTGAAGTACTAGGACAAGACAACAAAACCTACGACCATTTTTTTTATTTTCCATTTGTCATGTTGTTTCTTTATATGGCAAGTACTTGCTTGTGTGAAAGTTTGTTCTTTGAAAGCTTAGTTTTTAGACAGAAAAAGTTACAAATATCAAAAAGCCACAGTAAAAGAATACATTGAAAGCTACTAAATAACAGTGAATAAATATTTTAAACAATTGTTTGAAAGATTTACAAAGATTTTTGGAGAAATTGTCAGACTTCCTGACAATTAAAAGGGTGTGGGGTGGGGGGAATAAAATAAAATAATGGAGAGTGGGAAATTAAATGGGAAAAGAAACCTGAAATGACAATTACAATTCCATTTTATTACCTTATTTTAATATTATTAGTGTTGTGATGATTTTAATTATTCTTTTTACAAGAATCATAGCAGTACGTCTTTCACTTTACAGATGAATTAATATGTATGTGTATTTTAAAACAGTTAAATAAGCATGACAGAAAACCTCAAATATGTACAACTCTGACAGAGAATAATGACTGTGAGGCTAATGATACATAGATCAGAATTGCAATTTTTTTTTAAGAATATAAGAATCAGGACAGAATCACAAAAACAAATACACGAAGCGAAGCCAGTCCTAAAGGAATGTATTAATTTACCAGAGTGGGGTAGCGGAGTCCTTCGGCAGTGGTGTCACTACATGTGTTTGTTGTTTTTTCGTCACAACACAAAGTTTGAGTGAAAGGAATTGTGTTTTCATTGTAAGACGTGATTAACTTAAAGTCACTGGTGCGCGAGCCTGTGGTTAGATATGCATCATAATTGTAAGAACTGCAGAGAGTTCCTGCTCCATCCACATCTGCATAGTTGGGAGGGAGATAGGCGCTGGGAACAGCAGCTGCTCCATCAAACAACAGTCTGGGCTTTCTCTTGTGACAAAACTTCACTGCCACGATCAATATGATGAACGTCAGGAAGAAGGTGGACACGCAAACTAATGCAATGATCAAATATGATGTCAATTTAGAGTTGTCCTCATAAGTCATATCTTTAAGTTCAGGAACTTCAGAAAGGTTGTCAGAAATTGATCTTACAGCATGAATCACCCCTGTATCTCCATTAATAGATAGAAACGAGGACACTGCGACCCCATTGACTTCACTGGTTACCAGAGAGTACAGTACAGTCCCGTTCTGTCTCCAGTCTGGGTCATTTGCACTGACAGAACAAACAGAAGTGCCAGGTTTGTTATTTTCACTTATATAAGCACTGTAGGACTGCTGCTCAAATACAGGGGAGTTGTCATTGATATCAGAAACTGATAAGTAAATTATTTTGGAGGATGATAAAGGTGGAGTTCCCCCATCAGTAGCTGTTAGAGTTATGTTATAATGGCTAGTAAGTTCGCGATCCAGCGGACCTGTAGTGACAATTGAGTAATAATTTTTAATAGATGGATTTAGCTTAAAGGGGACATTTTCTTGAATAGTACAGTAAACCTTTTTGTTATCCCCTGTGTCTTTATCCTGAACATTAATAATAGCCACTTCAGTGCCAGGCTCCACATTCTCTGGGATTTGATTATCATTAGATTTTAAATGAATAACAGGAGTGTTGTCATTAAGATCGATTATATTTATTTCAACTTTTGCATTAGAAGCCAAGCCAGAACCATCCTTGGCCTGAATACGTATCTCATAATTGTTTTTGTCTTCGAAATCTATTGGTCCAATAACTTTAATTTCCCCACTTGTTTTATCAATAGAAAAAAGGCTGGACGCCTTATCTGAAATTTGGTTAAATTCATACACTACATGCCCATTCACTCCTTCGTCAGCATCCACAGCGCTTACTTTGATTACCATGGTATCTAAAGGCGAGTTTTCTAAAATGCTGGCTTTATAAAAAGACTGAGTAAATACCGGGATATTATCATTGGCATCCAGGACAATGACATGAATTACAGCAGTGCCAGATTTCACTGGAGTTCCACCATCGATTGCGGTAAGAACCAAATCCATATCTTTCTTTTGTTCGCGATCTAGTTCTTTTTGCAGTACCAGCTCGCAATATTTTCCTCCATTGGAATTAGAATGAACAGATAAAGAAAAGTGTTCGTTTTTCTCAAGTGAATAATTTTGAATGCCATTTTGGCCCTCATCTGCGTCATGCGCCTCCTCCAAGCGAAAGCGTGCTCCTGTGCCGATAGATTCTCCAATTTCAAGTTTGATTAGTTTGTTGGGAAATCGCGGTGAATTGTCATTTATGTCCTCTATTTTCACAGAAATCCGATGGAGCTCTAGCGGGTGTTCTAGAACTAAGTCGTATTTTAAGACACAGGGTGCTTTTGAACCGCACAGTTCCTCTCGGTCGATCCTCTCCGTCACAATAAATTCACCTTTTTGTAGGTTAATCTCACAAAAACGATTTTCATGTTCCTCCATGTCTAACCGAGCGTTTCTTGACAATAGCCCGTCCGTTTTAAGACCGAGATCCTTCGCAATATTTCCGATTACCGATCCTTGTTTCATCTCCTCTGATATGAAGTAGCTCAAATCCCCATTGCTTTTGCGCATGAACAGTAAAATGAACGCGATGCACGTCGACCAAGAAAAGTATCCGAACATAATCGCCATTTGTTAATGTCAGTTAATTTTAAACTCAGCCTCCACAATCCACAGTGATATTTACATCAGCCCAAAAACCTATATAATGATGCGTATGAATAAGGCGTGTCGTGATGTTTAAAGTATTATGACAGAGGGAGGGCAGTCATAAAGGATACTGCATTCTTGGTCAATAGCGACCCTCTGAGTTTGCATATCACATTACAATTATACATCAAGATGGATTCAAAGTAAAGTGGGACAAAGTAATGTAAACACAATAAAACTAATAAGTAAATAAATAAATAAAACTGTACTCTGTGTTTGTCTTAGAATTTACTGATTTTAAGCCACAAGGCTAACACTTTACTTGAAGATTTTATAATAAATTATAAAGGTATTGATAATGTTCATTGTAATGCATTATATCTTTTCAGAAATAAATGTAGCCAATATTAAAATGCATTTTAGTATTTGCAGATTCCTTGTTACACCTGAAATTGGTTGCTTATAATGTTTTAATATAATATAATTTCTAAGTATACTTTCTACTTTTTGGTGTAACAATACATAGATAAGTATTATAATGTATTATAACAATTGTTCATGAGATCATACAATGCATTATAAGGTGCATTACAAGGCACAGTTAATGCATTAAAAATACTTAATGCTTTACATAAAGG